GTTTGCGCGAAGCGAAAAACAAATCTTGGCAATGTGATTGGCCAGCGAAATAATTCGCCGCGAAAAAGTTGGAACAGTTCCTACTTTTTTACTGTTCGCGCGAATACATTTGCCTAGTGGAAAATGAGACTACAACAAAAAATTCGTTGTTTCGAGCGAGATTCGAACTCCCATCTTCGAGTTTCTAGTCAGCGGGGATTGCACGTCAGCAAAAGCGATGCCGACAAAGGTTGATTCGCACGAAAACAAATTCGCCTGACGGAAAACCGGTTAATGCTTGTTCGAATCCCACTCAAGACAACGGATTTTTCGTTGTACCCTTTAGTGTCAGAATATAATATGAAACTAGTTTTTCATACTCGCACTGCATGATAGCTATATAACAACCGGGCGATGTATTTTTAAGCCTGGTTACATATACCTATAACTGATATAAGTACAATGGCGTCATGCACGATTATACTGGTTTTCACTTGTTTCCAACCATTAAACTGACGTTACGTCATTTGATCAATTTCTAAAGTTGTTTCTTTTTGGATTTTTTTAATTAATTAATTTGGTTAGGGTTAGAGTTAGGGTTGCGGTTAGGGTTAGAGGTTAGAGTAGGGGTAGGGTTTGGGCTATTTACATCGCCATTTAACACCTCTTCCATTTTCCAAAAATGCCGTCATGTCAGTTTGGTAGATGGAAACAAGTGCCAATATGACAGTATGGAATGAGGACCAGAAATTTACTGGAGTGACTATACTATACCCATGTGCCAATCTTTCAACTCATTACATCCCTGTAGTCTAACAATGTAAAATATCATCTTCATTTTGCAGATCATTACCTATATTATCCATTGAGATTGAAAAACGTCACTATATAAGTTGTGTTAATATGTGTTTATTTAGAAAATGGTATAGTGTTGTTCCTGTGGATCGGACTACATGTGAGTCCGGACTGGCTTCAACAAGTGTTTGGTATTGGTACCATTGGTCATGTTGATATTGAAATGGTAAGGTTATCAACGAACTTTGTTATAAATGGTGGTCAAGACACTTTATTCAGGACAATATTAAGGCAAGGAAGATCCAGTTGATTACAACAATTTACTTGATCGTTTGTTTAGCCCATGATGCCTTATTCTGACTATACTGTTTCTTTTATTTTAGCCTGAATTTGCAATGTATTCTTCTTTTCTGTCTTCTTCGGCTTCGTTGATTATACCTACACTTTACTGGCTTGTATAGCCATACAAATACAACGCAATACACACTTTATTTACTGTCGTTCCAATTGAAGTGTTGCTCAAATATTGATTCAATACGTTACCTCGGGCTGACCAATTCATTTCATCAAGGAAGTGTATGAATATCTCTAGGAACTTGATCAAATGAATTGGTCAGCCTGAGGTAATGTATTGAATCAATATTTGAGCAACACTTCAATTGGAACGACAGTAACGTGATGTATGGCAGCTATATATGTATTAACTTGTTTACATGCAGGTTTTTCCATACAGCCAAGACCACCATTCTTGTTTGATAGTGATCCATGCATGTCAATCTTAGATTTATTCAAGTAGGCCTATCATGTAATCCTCTAAACCTTTTTTCATGTAGACGGCATTACCTGAGTTGGATACTGCCTTGTCAAAACGTGTTCGAGATATTATCACTCAAATACAGGACGAGCGACATAGATATATGAAGGTAATGTCGATTGGTATTCAGGAATTCAGGAGAGCGCCGCACCGGAATCGCGGGGCCATAGGTTCGATTCTTGCCAGAGGGCCAACAGTTTCGCA